CCAATAATGCCAAAAGTAAACTCAAAGAAACAACTTAATCAACCTACTAACAAACAAGATGAACCTTTAAAAAAAAATGAAAGTCTCTTACAGCTGCACAAAAAAAAGAACTTTGTTTGAATTATATACTTTAAATCTAAATAAAGAGTATTATTAATATAAAATTAGAGAAATATGAATTATACTTATTATTGAACCCCTTAAAATCTGAAGATTCTTTCTTTAGCAGATCATAATCTTTTGGAATTTCTGGTTTAATATTATCATTATCATTATTATAATTGATTGTTACTGTTATCATTTTCATCATTATCATCTTCAAAAATTCCAAGTAATAGTCTATACAAAAGATTAATTTGCTAAACAGAATCCTTAATATATATATATTTTAATAATTGAATATGAGATTATAAATTATAATCTTTAATATATATGCTACTAACCTCATTTATTAATATTTTAATAAGTTTACAGTCTTTTTAAGAGTTAAATCTTGCAAGTTTTCTTCTTTAAAATTTGAGGTGATACTATTACTACTTTCTGTACATTCTGAAGTATTGTTATAAGAAGATATATTATTATTTTTAGAATTAAAAATTACATCTTCTGATAGGGATACTAATAGTCACAGTTATAACTGATTATAACTGGTCATAACTGTAACTGATATTGGTCAGTCAAAGGCTTCTGATCAACTGGTTAATCTGTTTTAAATAGTAAAATCATTATGTATTAAAAATTAAGAAAATCAAAATATTTTATTTATAAATTAAAATTTTGAAATTAAATCTGTAATAATATTGCATTACTTAATAAAATGATAAAGTAGTTTTAAAAAATACCATGCTAGAATTGTTAAAGCAAAAATTAAAATTATTAATATTTGCCTAAATTAAAACTTTTTATTAAGTCAAAACTGCTTAATTATTTTACTATTAACCAGTCAGTCAACCAGTCAGTTAAAATCAGTCAGTTAATCAGTTAGTCAGTCAAAAGCTTTTGATTGATTATTACCATTTCTATTTTCTATATGTTTCAAAGAATTATCATGAGAGGTGAAGCTTTTTATATTATTATGTTCTCAAGTATTCTCTTTTTTATTTTGTAATTTTTAGATATTTTAATATGTAATTTTAGAATTGATACATATATACAAGTAGTTCTTTTACGCATTTTATTATTATTTTTTTAAACAAATCTAAAAGATATAAAATAATACTAATAGTACTAAACATAGCTATAAAGGTAAAAACTTTTTAAAATAGTAAGATATATTTCGTAATTTTATTAATGATATATGAGTTAAATACAGATAAACTTCTAATTGAATAAATAATGGTATTTATATACAATAAATAAACTATATAAAATTAGAGTTTAGAACTAGTTGTATTTTTGAAAACTGAATTTTAAAATGGATGCAACTGGTTTGATCTTTTCAAATTGATTTTTACAAATTCAGTTGAAACTGATCTTTGTAATTAGTTTTATATTTGTTAATTATTAAATTTACAAAATTATATAAAAATAACTTATAGAATTTTTGTTTAATAAATTAATAAAACAATTGATTAATAAATATATTGTGCAAAAAATGATCTGCACTTTAGCATTTACAAAACATTTATAAGTGTTTATTAAATTTTATGTTGTAATCTATTTAAAAATAATCAGTATTCAAATTTAAATTAAGCATAAATTTTTATAATATAAAAACTGGTTTAAACATCTGATTGTATTCATTTTAAATGAAAATTAATTTTCATATGAATAATTATAATAAAGAATATGTAATTAATAATAGTTTTGTGCATGCTTATCATTATTCTAATTTTACTAGTATTAAATAATAATCTATAGAAATTACAAAACAAAAAAAAATTTTGATCTAGAATGTTTCAATCTAAAATATAAAATCAGCAGTTTTATATAAATATAATTAGTTAATTATAAATAATTTTTTAAAAAATAATTAAATATATCAGTTTAATCGCACTTTAAAAAAAAATTAAATATATTAATTTAATAATTTCTTTACCATTTAATATTTTCAAATTAGGATTAATATATAATAAAAAACTTTATTGTTTACTATACTAATTAATTAATTAAATAAGTAAATTCTATTTTTTAAAAAAAAAAATTCTCTAAAAAAATTCACTTAAAAAAAACTTTTTTATATTACTAATTTTAATAAACCTTATAAATTTTAATAAGTTTTATTGTATTAATATACCTAAACAAAAATTTGGTAAGCTAAATAAAAAAATTTGTTAAAATCTTTTTATTTATTTATTGAACAGATTTTATATTATAGAATTATTATTGCCTAAAGAGTTAGAATATTAAATATAAGTAAATATATTCAGTTATATAAATCTATTAATATTTAATTTTAGTTTATTCAACTTATTCAATAACATAAAAATTAAATCAAAAATTAAATAACAAAACTCTAAGATTAACTTTAACTTTTTCAACTTGATCAATATGAAAACTAAATCAAAAACTAAATGATAAAGCTTCAAGTTCTATATCAGTAAATTTAACTCAATTAACAATTTGAAAAATAAATCAAAAGTCAAATAATAAAGCTTTAAGTTCAATTCTGGTAAGTCTAACTCTATCAGCAATCCAAAAAACAAATCAAAAACAAATAGTTCAACAAAATCTTATATAATATTAATGGAACCTAATACCATATGTTTCATCTGATAATGAAAAAGATATTATAATTCAAGATTATGAAGATACTGAAAGTGATTTGAATTTATGGAAAAATCAAATAAATTACGAAGAAACTGAAAGTGACTTAGATCCACAGCAAAATCAAACAGATCATGAAGAAACTGACTTAGATCTACAGCAAAATCAAATAGATTATGAAGAAACTGATATGGATCTATAGAAAAATCAAATAGATGAAGATATTAAAATTAATTTAAATTTACAACCAAAACGTCCAAAACAGTTTCAAAACATGTCTAATGAATTTGAAATTGTTTACTAAATAGCTCATTATAAAAGAATTTTAGATTTAATAATAAATATTCAAAAAAGAATAGTAATCAGTATTGATAAAAAATATAAAATGACTTCAACATCTTTATTACATCAATTTTCTCTCAAATCTAGTATGTTGATACCTTAAGAAATTGATCAGATAATATATATAGTATAAGTTATTATATAAAACTATATTTATTAATATTTCTTAATTTTAAGCATACTAAGAATCAACTATAAAAGGAATGTAAAGTCTTATTCCTCCAAATAAGAAATAATATAAATAAATTGTATGAGGAGCTAGTAGTCTAAAAATTTAAGATTTTTAAAACTGATCATAGATTAGGTTTATTACTTAAAGACGTAGACAGATATAGTGTTATTATAAGACATTGATAAAATAATGATAAGACGCTGATGAGATATAGATGGGATAGATAGGATATTTAAGACATAGTGTGAGATAGGTTGAGATATATAACTAAAATAACAAATCTCTGGAATATTAAAAATGAACATCACTTGATGGATGATACAATACTTATCAATATAAATTTTATGTTGATATTTTAAAATTCGCAAATAAATTTAAAATAACATATGATCAATTTGTATTAACAATTTATATATTAAAAATATTTATTTTTTCTTAATAAAATAACTAAACTAATTAATAAAAATAAAGCAAGAGAATCATGCAATAAATTGGATGAATTTATTACTGATAATATATAAAAATAAGTACTTCAGATATATCTAAAAGTAACAAATCAGCAAAAGCTAAGAAAAAATTTAGTAATTATTACTAAAGTTAGTATTTTTATATGATCAGTTATTAAAATAGCATTAGTTATTATAAAAAATAAAAAAGATACATGAAAAGCTATTAAAAAGTGTAATAATGACACAATTAATCTAAAAATCTCAACTAAACTTGATGTAATAAGTATGCTACTAATGTAAAAACTCTTAAATTATTAAATTAATAATAAAATTGATACATTTTATACACTTTATATAAATGAATTATTTGCTAATTATTTGCTAATAGATGACGAATTTTAATTGTGATTTATAATATAATACATAGAAATGTTAATATTTTTATAATATTATATTAATAATTATTGCAAATATATTTCTTAATTATTTTAATTTATATGTACGATAATTATTTGTTCTATTAAAGTAAGTTAATATCTAATATAAATTTAAATTTAAATTTCAAAATATGTAAAAAATAATTCAAATATATTTTATAAATATGTTAATCATCTTATAATTATATTATTCATATTAAAAGATTTTGACTATATTTCAAATATACAATTGCTATTTAATAGTAATGTGTTTATTATATTTACAAAATTAAAGATTTTAGTAAAGTAAGTAAGATTAGACAATTTCTATTTATATACAGGTGTATGTATATAAATCATATAATATGACTGACATTAATATTAATTTTCTCTAGTATTAAAAAATTAAGAAATTGGTTATATGATAGATAGGGTATAAAAAATAATAATTTTTTACTAAAAAATTTAAAGTTCTTGAAATTAATAGTACAAACTAAAGTGAAAGGATGTGATAGTAATGACAAATATATCTATCACGTAATCTGAATATATATACCCTATATAAACTTAGAAAATTTTTATTATTATATAATTTTCTTAATTATAATTAATAAAATATAATCAATTTTACTAATAATCATATTATTTATATAAAATAAATCATAATGAACATTTTTTTTAAAATAATAACAAATTATTTCAAAAGAATGATAATAAATTATTTTTTAAATTATAATGAATTATTCTAATTTAACAATAATAAATTATTCAAGAAGAATAATTAAGAGAGATGATCACTCTAATGTCTAGGCTTTTTCAATTCTTTGTTATGAAAATTTAAACAAATTATTTAATTTGTATAAGTGGATAATATATCATTAATTTTATCATTTTTTAAATAATTATTATATAACTAAAAATAATATTTTATATTTAAAATATAATATTAACTTTTTAATTATCTTTTTATATAATATATTTAATTTATTAAATTATTAAAGCTATTGAAACAAAACTAAGAGGTTTTGCAATTTATCTAAATAGTAAAAGGTAAAATTTAGTAAAATTTTATTAAAGGTAGGAAAAATTAAGAAGGTTTTTTAAAAACCTTTTTAATTTTCTCCTACCAGCTGCCTGTATACACAAATTTTATTAAAGAAATTTGCAAAATTCAGAAAAAGGTAAAACTATATCAAAACCTTAGTAAAAAATTAGCAAAACTAAAAGTTTAGACATTTTTTTAAATCCAAAATAGTTTAAATAAGCAATCTTAATTATTATTATAATTAATGATTTTTTTTATTTATAATAAAATTTAGTAAAATTTTATAAATAATTATATTTATTTTATCATTTAAATATTTTATAACAAATCTTATTATTTTTTTTTAATATATAGTTAATTATAAAATTCTTTTAAAAATAATGTTTTTATAAGTAAAAATCCTATCAAAATAAATTTGTAGAAAATAGATTTATAATAAACAATTTTGAATAAAAATTTTTGAATCTATACTTTGTATTATAATTTAAATTCAATCAAAATTAAACTAATTTGAATATTTTAAAAAATTGATTTAATTTATATTTATTATGTAGTATAATTATTAAATATTTATTAGAATATATTTAGTGTAGCTAATATTTTTATAAATTTTTAATCATAAAATATTAAATATAAATAAATTATTATTTGTAAAAGTCTTAAATCTCGTATTATTTATTTAAATAATTTTTAATTCAAAAAATAGGTTAGGATTACATACTTATTGATTTCCTTTTATGGAATAATGAATATAAGGCCGAGATATTTGAAACATAATGTTGACTCTTTTCTTTATAATATAAAGAATTTTTGAAAGTACGAACTGTAGATACAAATAATTACTTTATAAACATCTCATTTAAACAAAAACGGATCAGAAAATTTTATCGAACTTATATTTAATATAATCAGCTGACCGTCTGTTTGTGATAAATAATTTTTTATGGGACCAAGAAAATTATTCCAGAAATTAATAGGTATATTAGGAAATTGACTGAAACCTTTTTAATATACATGATTCCATATCAGAGAATTTGTTCTCTCAGTATGAAAAAAACTATTTGAATCCTTTATTGTTCAGCCATTATCTAGGATAACGATATTTTTTTTTAGATTACCACATTGGAGTTTATCACTGTAGTAATTCTTGACATATCTCCGACAATGCACCCCAACGTTATGAATGGGTAATGGCGGGTTTTGTGACTTGTATTGTAAAATGCCAAACTTTGAGTGAAATAATGATTCTTAGATTTTATATAATGGCACTTTGCTAGGCATGAAACATTTAAATCATACGAGGAAAGATCGGAAAGATCCATAACAACAAAATGAAAAAGTGATGGGGTTTCAGATTATTTTAATCATGGCTGACCACGTGATAACAATCTATTGCGGATGAAAAATTATTTTGGGATTATTTAAAAAATTTTTTTCCAAATATTGAACAATGTGAAAAAAAAATGAAGTCCCATTTTTTTGATTATCAAAAGTTTGTTTTGTCGATCTCAAGAACAAATATGTAAACTTCATTCTGAAAAAGAATTGTTGATTTGGGGCAGAAAATAAGAACGATATGGTCGAGATACCGACTAGTATAATGGTGTAACAATATGTGACGAATTAAAAAATTTGAAAAAAACATATCAGAAATTTCACGCAATCGAAACAGGTTTTTTCACTTCCGAGGAATTCTTAGATCTTCTTTTTGTAATACCAACAAAAAAAAAAAGAACTTTTGATTTTCAAACTTTAAAAAAAAAAAAAAAAAGTCATCCAATTAAGGTTTTCTTTTTTTTTTTTGAAGTTTTTTTTCAGACAGGAAAGGAATCTTGATTTTGAAAAAAAAAAAAAAAAATCGTGTGAACATCGTTCCTTTAGATGATCATTAAAATTTTTTAGTTCCACTCGGTAATGACAACATAATTGCGCCTTATATTCCTACCACGATCTTTATAGATTTCTCTTTTATGTTAGATTCAAAAATTTGACAAAAGCTCGGACACATATACAACATCAACCATAAAAAAAAGCTTTTGTGGGGGAAATGACGCATAGTCGGATGGAAGTTGCCGTTTCTGCAGCATTGACGTAATTCTTATTCATAAACTCATTTTATTTATAGATGTTCCATTGTAAAATCCTAATAGGATCTTATTGCGGTTTTAAATACAGGATATGACAGTTTTATTGACGATGTCTATGCATTATTATGCATAAGTATGCTTTTTCCTAATAACCATTTGACTCTTCTGTGGAACTTGGTAAATGAAATGGTAAAGATGATCCATTTTATGTAGGGATTATTTTAAGATAAAAAATTATGAAACGCCGAGAATAATTTCATGCAAACAAATAGGTGTCAATTATTGATTTGTTATTTTAAAATAAGTAATTCAAAGAAAGAAAAATCAAAACAAAAAACAGAGTTCAAGAAGAACAACCTGAATGAGAGGTAAAATGGGAATGGATTTCTTCTTCATTTTTCATAAAAAGGATAGAAGGATTTGAGTAAAATTCGAAAAGCATGTAGGCGTTATTATTAATTTTTTTTTTTCGATTCAAAAAAATGAAACAGGTGACCTTTTTTTAATTGAAACATACTTTATAACTGCATCATTATTTGTTTTTTGTTTTTTTTTATCAGAAATCTCTTGGGGGGTTCTTTGTATAAATTAGGGTTGGGTCAATACCTTGCGGAAATTCCGGAAGTAATCGAAATTTCCAACCCTGGTATAAGAGAACTTGTGATGATCTGAGCATTTTCATTGGTTCAATGAAATTGAGAGATTATGTTAAACGCATGCATTAGAAAAGGGAAATCCATCTATCCACGTTTATATCCTTGTGACAATGGATTTAAGGTTTACGGTTTCCTTTTAATGCAGGCCTTTTTTTTTTTTAATATGTCCAATTCAAAACATCGTGTTCCGTAGTTAAATTGTACGTGTACGTGTACGTCGGAGCAAAAAAAAAAAAAAAAAGGAGAATATGTCGATTAACGATTTCGATCACAAAAAAAAAAAAAATAAATTAACAATAAAAAAGGAAAAGCAAAAGGTTAGGACATGTTACCAGTTTTTTATTACAGGATGCACGATTATTTCTCATCGTAATTAATCAAATGTTTCATAAACGCGATAATCGGAAACACACCGTCTCTCAAAAGATGTTTGCCCCTCGGGAAACCTTATCTGGGACCCGTTCACCATTTCAGTACCCGTATTCCCGAACCCCAAATATCATTCAATGCCATATCCTTCGTTTCACCTTATTCACCTCTCGTCAAAAAACGATTAACCGAACTCCCCTATTCGATGGGTTTCCCCACATACATGGAATTTCCTTTTTTCGATAAGTTACAAAGCAAAAATGCGCTTACATTTTCTATAAACGCCCATATATGGTACCATATATGGTATTCATGTAATAGTATAATGCCATGGCGAATTGACCAACTGAAATCTATCTGATTATTTGCGCATTCACAGACGTATTGCATATATTGGCTCGGTTGGACAAAAATTTACTTAAGGGATGATTTTTATCTTTATCTGGGTAATCTATCAATGAAATTCTAGGATTTAAATTGTGTTAATTAATGTAATAAATTTTCACCTACAACAACATTTAACAATAAATAAATAAATAAATAAACAAATCTTGAAACATTACCTGACTTTTAAACAATGGAAAAAAAAAATTCAAGCCACAAGTGTCTGGTTTAGCCCCTTTTAATCAATCCAAATTATTCGAAAATACGAAAAGATGAATAAATGAACAAAAAAAAAAAAAAAATGTTCACCCCAATCATGCGAGATAGTCGTGCCCTTATAATTACAAAATGGAATCATTTCTTGATAACAATATTTATTTTTTTTTGTTTCAAGTAAATAAATATAAACAATTACGACGCCAGAACGAATTCTTGCAGACCTTTCAAAAAAAAAAATCGCGTTATTTCGAAAAACCTCATTGAAATTCACAAGCAAAGTAAACAAATTTAATTAAATTTAGTATAATTGTGAGAATATAAAAGGAATTAATTTTCTTGACAAATATTTTCGTTTTACTGTAAAACTTTCGTATATTCGGATTTTATACCATATAAGGAAAAACTTTTAAGAAAATTTTGTGGAATTATTAAAATCATCACATGCACATTATCATTAATTTATCATTCTGTTTCTCTTTTAAACAAAATGGTAAATCTGAAATTAAAAATTACACAAGAGAAAAAAAAGGGTTGTTTTCATTTTTTATTGTACAATAGAGAACTAGTTTAAACCACTTGTCAAAATTTGCAGTATTTGTAGTATTTGTATAATCGGTTGTGTTGCGTAACCGTATTTAGGCCTCTTTGAAAATTTCGTTGGGGGAAAATTCATTCAAAGAATTAATTATTCTTGTACATGAAACGTCGAGTGTCATTGATTGAAATTGGAAAAGATTATCGAACAACAATTCCTTGTGGCGTAGCTTAACCGAAGTCGAAAAAAAAGAAACAAAATGTAATTTATTTTTATTCACGGGAAAAAATCTCAAAAAAAAAAAAAAAAACCAACATTGTTTTTAGTTCAAAAATGTCAAATAAGAGAAGCTTATTTTAATATATTTTTAAATTAATTTTTTTTTTTTGAATACATTTTTTTTTTTAAACAAATTTTTTTACAGAATATTCAGTTATTTTTTAGATATATACTTTTTGAAAAAAATATAAGAGAAAAAAAATCTTAATTCCCCTTGTAAATCCCCTCTTATCCTGCTTATTTCGCTTTTTTCTCTTTAAAAAGATGAGATAGAACTAATATGTACACTTTGCTTTTCATTAAATTATGTGAATGAAAAGAAAAATGGTTCTAGATCCCGATTCTTTTTGTCATATATATACAAAAAAAAAAAAAAGCAAGGTAAAAATCGAAACCCAACCAAATTGCCAACCATCACCAGAAATAAATTTTTTTCGTTAGAAAAAAGGGAATGCAAGGGAGTTTTTCTGTACATTAATTTTTTTGTGTAGCCTAAAACTACTCGCCACGCATTAAAGCGTTACACCTCCCAACTAAATGATAAAAATCATAACTATTTTCCATTTATAAACTAAAAAAAAAAAAAGAAAAAAGATAGTAAAATAAAAAATAAAATAATTCTAAAATACTTTTGGTAAAATAAGAAGAGAAGAAAAAAAGAAGAGATTCTAGTTATATATATATATGTATATGTGATGATATAATATTATAATGAAAGAAAAGAAAAAAAAGAAAAAGAGGAGATAATTTACTTTTTTGATGAGATAAGAAATATTAATAAATCTAATAATTATACAATATAAGTGTTTTTGATACAAGGAGAAAGAATAATACAAAAGTTCCAACGAAAATAAATAAATTAAGGAAATAATATAAAGGGGGAATTTTAGTCCTTATAATGAAGAACATTGCGAACAACAATCCTGTAGAGATAGATAACATAGTTTCAAATTCATGAAGGTACTCGGACTATTTCTACGACGTCATATGTTCGTGATTGTCTTTCGGTCATCCATCAATCATCAAAGGTAGATGAAACTTAAAGAAAATAAACCCATATTGGTTAGAACTGAATTGTTCAATTGGAAATGAAACTAACATATAGTAGCCCAGCTTAATTATTAACATTGACTAAAGTGTCTTATCTTTAATGGTGGTTTTTACTTGTTTGGATAATTTGAATGCGTACGTCGCGCTTCTTAAACATCGCACGGCGCCAGCTTTCTAATTCATAATAAAAAACATTAATGCCAAACAATATTTTCCACCAAAGGTATAAAGACAAAACGAAGAACTACATTATAACTTTCTTTAAGTGGATCTATATATATATATATATATTTTTGTAGTCGTTGATGTTTGTCGCTTGATGTTGATGTTGTTGTTGACCTTATCGAATTCATTAACAAGATGGACTGACTGAACGTTTGGAAAATCTAACAAAGGGCTGTATGGGTTTATCGAACTTCAATGATACGGACTCCGTAAATATTTTCACGAACAATGAAACGTAAAAAGAGCTTTGGTAATAAAAAGAAAGAGCGAAAGAAAGGAGTAAAGAAAAAGAAAAAGAAATCATAAAAGAGAAAAATCTCTTCGTAATAGTCATTAAATTTGACAAATAAGTTATCGCATTCCTACGATTATTCATTGTCATCCGATAAGTTGACAATCCTCCTGAGAGTATCATCAACCACCGTTACACCACTACAATTGTCATGTCAAATCATTGAACTTTGGATCTCATTTGATTAACAGTCATTGAGAAAGCTTTGGACTTTTGTAGGGAAGAACGTCTATATGATTTCAGTGGATTTCGATACGATGAATCCATTCGCGCTTTCGGTGATGGAGGAGGAGAGTTTGATGCAAGCGGCATCGTTGTCGAGTATGATGGTGGTGGTGCAAGTAAAGGTGTAACAAGTGAACGGCATGAAACAAGACGAGCTTCGAGACTCTGTAAAAGAGACAAAAAAAGGGTAAGTTTCAAAGTCTTCTACATCGAAAAAATTCATTACACAACATGAAATCATATTAACCTTGACTCTTCCAACCATCTCTTGTACCATTTTGACGGGGTTTGAGTTTGGATCTATGGAATTTACTTGTGTGTTCATTGCTTCCGCTCTTTGTGAGTTCGTGATGATCGTTGGTTTTGGTGGTGGTGGATTGTAAAATTCTTTCCTTGGTGGTGAAGATACAGGTTCAGATGATGGTGGCGGTGGTCCGTATTCACCATCTTGTTTGTTCTTCAATATGGCTAATTCGATGTTTACATCTATTTCAACGAATCATTTTGAATTAATAAATGTGGATCCTTTTGCATTATGTTGATTAGCGATATAAAAATAATTATCATAGAAGACAAACCTCTTAAATCATCTTTAAGACGTTGTACTTGAACAATCAAAAGATTCTTTCCTTCTAACTCGTTTTCTAAAATTACATTGCGCTCAATGGCTTTATTGTATTTGTTTTCTAAATCAATCAAGGAACTCTTTGCAGCTCTATAATAGGGGAATGACGGTTTTTTTTAGCGCCGTGAACGATCAGAAGATGAACGAAAATTTGAATTGGAATTAATACAAACCTTTCTGTTCTCTCCAAGTCATCATAGTCAATTTCGAGTTCTCGTGTCTTGATCACGAATTTTTCTTGTAAGCTTCGGAGAGAATCAAGTTCTCTTTGCATCTGTGTTTGATTCACATTAGATTCCGATTTTGATTGATAATATTTTTGCTGTAGTCGAAAAAGTTAACGGATCAGTATTGAGTTGTGGTGAGGCGCAGCACAATCCAGGCCATTGGCCATGGATGGGAATCGATTGCTAAGAATGACGTACCTTCCATTCATCGACTTCATTTTTTAAAGCCTCATTCTTTGATTTAAGTTCTTTGTAGCGTTTTTCTGATTGTTCCAACTCTCGCTCCAAGTCTTCCTCTAATTCTCGTGATGTCGCTTGAAACTCCTCCATGCCAGATTGTGTCTCTAGAAGCGTAGCCTCTAAAGCAGATGTACGGGCTTTATAATGTTCGAGTTCTTCTTTGATTGAGGAAAAACGTCTAACCGAGTAGAAGAAAAAAGGAAAGTTAATGGGTTGTGAAAAACAAGGGCGTTAAGCAAAAACATTTGAATAATACGTACTTTCCGGCCATCGTTGATATTTGAAAATGTTATTTTAGGTTGTAAGTGAAAAAAAAAAGTTTGTTTTTTTAAAAAAGTAGGAAAAAATACAAATAGTCGCTTTTTTGTGTAAAAACAAAAAAGGTATGGTATATATATATATACGAAAAAAAAAAAATTAAGGGGGGGGGGGGGGGGGGGAAAACATTTTTTTTTTTTGATTTTGTAATTTATTTATTTTTTTTAGTAGGATGGGGAGGGGGGTGGTG